GCTGGCGGTCACCAGCACAAGCTGTCACACATCAGCCCTGTCCATCAGTAGGTTTCAGAGTGCACAGGGGGCAAGATCTGCTGAGGAAGGGGACACTGAGGCAGTGGCAGGGCTCAGCCCAGGGTTTCTGCGTGGCACGGTGGCGATGATGGGGCAGACTGGGTGGCTCTGAGCGCTGCGCCAACACGCAGCCCCCAGGCTCAGCTCAGTTCTGTCTGCAGGGCCTTGCATGCTGGAGGGACCACACAAAGGGTCAGGGGGAGATCTGAGCACCCAAAACCCCCTCCTAGCCCCTGTCCTGGAGGAGGAGCGATCGCTGAGCCATCGCCTCACTGCGAGGGTGTCTGTGGGACAGGCAGCTTTCCCCACACGGGCTGACAAGTGTGCAGGCTCCGATGCAAAGCACGCTGCAAACTGGTTCATCTGTTTCAGCCTCATTAGTGTGTGCATGATAATGAAGGAGCCAGCAGAGGGCATGGAGAGGGATGTCACCACTGTGCAGGGACAGAAGTGGCTCGTGAAGCCAGGGCACCCGTCTGCCCTGCAAGACCGCAGCCCTCTGGGCTTTGCCAGCTGGAGGACGTTGGTTTGGTCCTGTAACTCCCTTCCCAAACCCTGCTGGCCCCGTACCTGGCAGTCCCAGTGCACCCACCCCAACTCCCACTCCACAAAGTGCCTGGATGCCTATGGACACCCTGGGTGCAGGCGGAGAGGGGACAGTGATGCCCAGCCGTCCCCCGCTGCCCCTTTTCGGGTGAGCAGGAAGCCTGGGGAGGGAGGGGATCACAGCACTGCTACGACCCCCACGCCCACCCACTGCAAAGGGAGCCTTGGTGCTCGGATCTCCAGCTGCATCTCCGGCGTTAGACGCTGCCCGGTAATCAGCTTCACCGTGTGCCCTGATGGTGCGAAGGCAGATGCTGCCGCCTGGCCTGGCTGACTCTTCCCTGCTGTCTGTAGGGATTACGGGTGCCCGTGGTGCAAAATCCATCGAGCCAAGGTCAGCCCAAGCACCTGGTTAAGGCGGAGATGCAGGACAACTACAGGAGTACTTCAGGAACACCATCGAGCCCACTGCCTGCTGGCCCGAGAAGTGCTGGCTGGCCAGGTCCGAAGGTACTGCTGAGGTCCCAGCTGTCCCCCTGTGTCACACGGGGCACATTGCCCGCAGCATCAGGGGGCTGGGGTGCAAGCGGCGGCTCTGTTCATCCCCCCTTTGGCATCCTGCGTCCCCCACACAGTAGCGAAGGGACCCTTCCTTGGCACCTGTGCTTGTGGCTTTGCTGCAGCTGCCTGTCCCCATCCTTGCACTGAGACTGTCCCTGTCCCAGGGCTGCCCACAGGTCCCCAGGGTTCTCTCCCGCCTAACTCCCCTCCAGTGGTAGGTGCTGCCTGGGGGACACCCTTCTGGCACCCCATAGCCCACAGGGACCAAGACTGCAGGGATGAAGGGCCAACGGGCTGGAAGTGGTGGGTGTCACCTCCACCACAGATCCTTCAAAAGGACCCCAAGAGCAGCACCTCTGATGTGCCTCCTGGCCCTGTGGCATTGCGTTTCGGGGAGAGGGGGAACAGTCGGGACTCCTCGGCCGTCCCCCTGCATCCATGGCACCGTGGGACACCTCTGCTTGTCCGTTCTGCGTTGCAGAGAAGTACAACCCAATTTTTGTCAACGAGGACAAACACGTCACCTGGAGAACAGGTCCCTACAACAGCGCTGCCTGGCATAAGCACGCCTCTTACCTCCCCCTCCCACCCAAGGTAGGGTCCAGCCCCCCAGCCCCCCCAAACTGGAGCCGCCTGAAATGCTGCCAGCGCCTTGGGCTCTGCGGCAAAAGGGTGGCAATCCCACAAGGGCTGTCATCGCTCCTTGCAGGGGACAAGGATGGAGACCTTCCTGCACAGCACACCCAATCCATACCCCCTGAAACCCACCTGCCTCAGCCAGCCCCGTAACTACCCCTGCCCCGTCCCTGTGCTCTGGCTGTAGCCGTGCCTGTGCCATGTGGGCGTTCAGCCAGGTGACAGGCTGGCTGCTCCTCCTCGCCCTTACCCTCACCATCCCTCCGCTTGCAGGGACAGACATGGTCGTCGACAAGCTGCGCAGGCTGTCACGGCACTCCCCGCCAGCCCTGCGGCCCCTCTACACCGTGGCGGGGAGGGGACCCTTCCAGGGCTACTACAGCCCCTGCTCCGGGCGCCACTACTGCCTGCAAGGGATGGACTAATACGTTGATGGGACCTCTGCCATCAGGAGACATCTCCACCCACCAGGAGAGAGGGCTGTAAGGCTGGGATGGGATGGGATGGGATGGGAATGGTTTGGGTCGGAAATGGGTTTCCTTGGGCTGGGGTGGACGTAACCTCTCTTGTCCTCAGACCACTGCTCACCCTCCCTCCTCTGTCTCTTGCAGGCGTACCCCGTGCTGCAGTTACAACCCCGGAGCAGTGTTCTGTGCGCCTACACATCGCCCCAAGCCATCCTCCATGTACAGGAGCCCTAGGTACAGACAGGTGCAGACGCGGGAGCGCTCCAAGTCGGTTGCCCTGGGGGAAAAGCCTATTATTTTTTCCTAACGCCACCCAGCCACTAGCTCTCTTTTCATTACAGTTCCACACAAAATTGCTCAGAGGTTTATTCTGGGGACAACAGTGCAGACTGCAGACCCCGAGGGGTAACGGGTCCCCTCACGGTGCCCGTGCAGGCAGCGATGCAGCCGCTGCACCTCCATCTCGCAGGTTAAGCAGACGTGACTAGGGAGGGCAGGACGCCGTTGGGGTGCTGGGCTGTGGAGCGTGTTGTTGCTACCCGTGGAGAGGCTGCTGCCAGATTTACTCCAAAGGACGGGTGTTTCTATGCTTGGTCTCATCCTTGGGACTGTACGGCACCTGAAATCTTGCTGGCACCCCTGAGCCTGGCTGCACGTAGCTCAGCCTCCCCCAGATTTTGCGGCCACGTCACCGTTTCTTGTGCTGCTCTTGTGTTTTCTGTTGTCGTTGTTTGCTCTTCTTATGCAAGAACCTGCTCCGTGGTCACACTGTTTGTTATGCGGCAATCAGTCTTGTCCTTCACCCGCTGCAGGTCCAGCAGCACCTTTTAATCCTCACATGTTTACCTTCAGGATGTCTCCAACGCCGAGGCAGCTTTTTTTCATTCCTGGGGAAGCAGCGAGGGGAGAGGGGAGGCTGTTCAACCTCTGCTGCCGCATCAACACCTCGCAGGCCAAAATCAGGCGTCAGGCTTTGCAGAAAACGTGTGACTGGCTTCAAATTCCTGAGCCCAGAAACTAAAACCAAACAACAACGAGAACAGACACGGAGTGCTGGGTTCCCCATAGATGTTCCTACGCCCAAGCCTTGGCAAGATGTTTCTCAAAGTCTCCTCCACTGAGAAACAGGCAGATTTTCCTGGACTGGCACGGCTCTAGGAATGCAGGTTTTAGGAAAATGACAGTGCAAGGGAGAGTGGGTGTTTGCAGGCTGGGAAACCCACTGGAAGCCACTTGCTGAGACGGCAATGCCAGGGAGCTTCAGCTCTTCTACCCAGGCTTTGCTTTGGCCTCAGCGCCCAAAGACACAGACCAAAGTGGGTGGGGGTGGCTGCGTGCCTCCTGCTCACCCCTAAGTGATGCCTGCAGCCAGAAGCAGGTTTCCTGCTCTTCTTCCTCACCGGAGTTTCATCCTCCCACAGCTGGTAATTTTATCTGCTCTCCTAGGTGGGACATAAGCCTCTTCCAGAGCATAGGAGGAGTCCAGAGAGGCAGCTACATCATCCACCCCGACTTCGCCTCAGAGGCTTACTCTGCCCCGTGACACCAGTGAAGAACAACGATGGGCTTTCACTAAAACTAGCGTGGGCAACCAACCCCCTCAGACCCGTTGCTGCCTGCTGGGGAAGTTCCCAGGGAGGGGGGAGAGAGTGTGCGGATTGCTGGCTTTGTGGGAACTTTGACAGCCCTCAGGGGTCAGTGCCCCACCACCACCCGCTAGCTGGAGACCAAGAGAGCACGCAAGGAAAAGCTCTCAGAGCACAGCAACACAGCCAGAAATAGCAGCAGTCGTTGATACCCGTGTTTTTCGGCCTCATGCTGGGCTGCTTAGGACGTGCTTGCTTTTGCCAAGTTATTCGGGAAGAGCTGCCATCCATCTGGGATACTGAGCACGGGCACGGGCTAAATAAGGAGGGGGATTTGAATGCAGCACGTAATTAATGAAGGCATGAAATGCCCTTCTCTGATTCTGATCTGAGAGCCCAGTGTCAGCGGGGAACACCACCCAGGGCCTTCCACAAGTGCTGCAGACCACAGAATCACAGAATGCTTTGGGTTCGAAGGGACTGTTAGAGGTCATCTAGCCCAACCCCCCCAGCAATAAGCAGGGCCGTCTTCAGCTAGACCAGGTTGCTCAGAGCCCCGACAAACCTGGCCTGGAATATCTCCAGGGATGGGGCATCGACCACGTCTTCTGGGCAACCTGTGCCAGTGTTTCAGCACCTCATTGTAAACAATTTCTTCCTTATATCCAGTCTAAATCTACCCTCCCTTAGTTTAAAGCCATTACTCCTTGTCCTGTTGCAACAAGCCCTGCTGAAAATATTTTGCCCATCTTTCCTATAGGCCCCTTCAGGTACTGAAAGGCCACAATAAGGCTCCCCAGAGCCTTCTCTTCTCCCGGCTGATGCCTTCTCCCGGCTAAACAGCCCTGACTCAGCCTTTCTGCACAGGAGAGGTGTTCCAGCCCTCGGATCATTTTTGTGGCCTCCTCTGGCCCCGCTCCAGCAGCTCCATGTCTGTCCTGTGCTGAGGGCTCCAGAGCTGGACACAGGACGCCAGGTTGGCTCTCACCAGAGCAGAGCAGAGGGGCAGAATCCCCGCCCTCGACCTGCTGCCCGCGCTGCTTTTGATGCAGCACAGGGTACTGTTGGCCTTCGGGGCTGCAAGCGCACATTGGTGGCTCATGTCCAGCTTTTCACCCACCAGTACCCCAAGTCCTTCTTGGCAGGGCTGCTCTCAATCCCTCCATCCACTGGCTGGTATGGATACCAGGGGTTGCCCCAACCCAGGTGCAGGAGCCTGCGTTTGGCGTTGTTGCACCTCATGAGGTTCACACAGGCCCACTTCTCGAGCTTGTCCAGGTCCCTCTGGATGGCATCCCAAATG